GTCACAGCCTGGCTCCCCTGCTGTCACAGGGGGTCCTTGCCAAGGCCACCTGCCCCTTCCCCCCTGCCTGGGAAGGATGGAGCCAGCACATTCCAGGATCTTCCCCTCCCTGAGTGACCCCACCTCCTGTCCTGGGGACACCTTCAGTGTGCAGCAGAGACCCCTCGTGTTTGTGGTGCCCAGGCGTGGGGCCAGGCTGCCTCTGCCCACCTCTGAGAGGGATCCTGGGCTTCCCCAGGAGCCTCAGGGTGGGGAAAACACGTGAAGATCCCCCCTGTGACCACGGAAAACAGCCCTTGGGAGTGTGTTCAGACAGACCCCAAACACAGAGCAGGACAAGTCTGCTATCAACAAACCACACACACATTCATGGCTTTGTGCTTCTCTATTCTGCATTTCAGGACTGCCTGGGATTCACTGAGGTCCTTTTTGGTGCTGAAATCCCACATCCAGCTCCAGCAAGAAGTGCCACCTCCCCTGGGACAGCACAGAGGGACAGCCCAGAGCTGGGGTGGCTGCAGGGAAACCAACTGGGACCTTGTAGAGCAAATCTTGGAGAGGTGAGTCTGGATTTTCAGTAACAACCCAAGAAACAAAGCCACCCCAAGCCCTGAGGGCTGCCCAGCTCTGCCAGTGCCCCCATGGCACCAGTCCTCACCAACAGAAAGGAGCCAAAAGGGAATTCAAGAGCTGCCTCAGGAGAGGCCTGGATGCTGCAAATGAACTTCAGGATATTCTCCACAGAGCTGACTTTAAGCCAAAATAATGAGAGATAGGAATCTGGAGGATGCCTTTGTATTGTTCATGTTGTTTAGTAGCCTTAAAAATAATAATTAAGAAAATCGTTGAAAAAAATTTGTTGAAATTCCCCAACCACCACTGTTTGTGCAGGACTCTCTCCTGAGCCCCTGGCCATCCTCAGCACCTTTGTCATCCCGTGGGCAATGCTCCAGCTTCACTCTGTGCCAGCTCAAAGCCCCACAGAGCTGAGGAAACTCTGCTCCTTTGCCTTCCAAGTATCCAGAGCACGATGCTCATCCTTTTTCCCTGTGTGAAACATCTCCTTCAGCCTCCCTGCACCTCAGTGAGATCCTCCCTGTCAGCAGAAAGCTGGGATTTATTACAGCTGATGTGCTGAGCTGGGGAGGGCAGGGGGGGCAGCAAAAATCCCAAAGGAAGCCTCACTTGACAATGTCTCTTTCCTACACTTCCTCACAGCAGCTCCGTGGGGGATGACCAACAGTGGAAAAATGTTGCTCATGTCCCGGGACAAGAATTATGATTATTTGCTGGGCTGCCATCCACCATGGGGAATTCTGGCTCGTGACATCACCCCATTGTTCCTGCTGGTGCCAAGAGCACGCTGGGATCCTGACTGCTCAATGGTTAAAGGCCTTTCCTGTTTGCTCACTCCTTGTTTCCAAACAGTGCAGCTCGCGAGGGCTGCACGGGATGTCTCCTGTCTTGGGCTGCTTTGTCCCTGTCGTCATGTCTGCCTGGAACTCCTCACAGTGACATGAACAATGTACTCCCGCAGTCAGAAACAAAAGGGAAAAAATAACTGCAGGAGGCAAAGCCCATCTTTGGCGTTGGGGACCCCGTGCACGCCTTTGTTCCTGCTCTGGGAGCTGTGTTTGTGCAGCACGGCCCGGCCCTCCTCCAGCACTGCTGCTTTCCTTTGTGATTTGAGCGTGGTGATAGTGCCAGGAGGCTTGGCCTTGGGAAGCTGGCTCCTGATCCTTATCGGGGGAACAACGGGGACAGTGGCAGGAGCCGGGCAGGTTTTCCGTGCTCTGGAGGTCAAGGAGAACCAGAGCTCCCAGTGAGAGCTGATCCCCCAGCCCACAGCATGAGGGGATCGAACATCTGTGGGTTTGGGGCACCAAAATATGACATCTAAAGGTATTTGAGGGTGCCCAAAGGTGCTGAAGGGTCTGGAGGGGCCACAGGAGGAGCAGCTTGGGGGACTCGGTGTGTGCAGCTGGAGCAGAGCACACTGAGGGCAGAGCTCAGGGATCTGCAGCTCCTCCCGAGGGGCAGCTCCGATCTCTGCTCCCTGGGACAGGGACAGCAGCCAGGGAAGGGCTGGAGCTGGGCCAGGGCAGGCTCAGGCTGGAGATGAGGGAAAGGTTCTTCCCTCAGCCAGAGGGTGCTGGGCACTGCCCAGGCTCCCCAGGGAATGGGCACGGCCCCGAGGGATGGACAGGGGGGATTGCTGGGGGGTCTGGGCAGGGACAGGGGCTGGGCTGGATGATCCCTGTGGGTCCCTTGAGCTCAGGGTGTTCTGTGATTCCAACTAAACCAAGCAGGTACTCATGGAACTACCACAGCCACCAGAATAATCCCTGAACCATCAATCACTAAGGTTGGAAAAGACCTCCAAGGTCTCATTGAGTCCCACCCGCTCTGGGGATGTGTTTGGTGCTGGAGCAGCTGCTTCACCTTCTGCCTCACAAACCCTAAAGGCAAAACAACTTTTTAAAGAATTGTTTTTCCACAGGAACTCTTTAGCTCTGGACAAAGCTCTCAGAGCTGGGTCAGTTCAAAGCCAGTTCAGTGCCAACCCCACCTCGTCTCTGCAAGGTTCCCACATCCCCGCAAGAAACGGTGCCATTCATCCCTAGCCCCACATCCTCTGGGATCTTTGAAGCTCTGGTGCCAAACATCCCAAGGGGTGCTGCTCAGCTCGGTGCCTGCCCAGCACAGAAGAGCTTTTCCTGCAGAATAAAAGGAATTCAGGCTCTCAGGATGAGCATGAGGGTGTAACGTTTGCTGTAACGTTTGCTCCATTTTCAGTCTGGTGGGATTTATGGGACATGAAGACAACAATTGAGAAATCTTTGGATGAAAGGCCTGGTTTGTGAAGATGTTTTTGCATCTGGCACGGCAGGCAGAGAGCAGCAGACATCTGGGCACCTCCAGCCACACGCAGACTGCAGACAGGTACGTGGAGCTCCAGGTGCTCCTTGGAAATGTGAGCTGGGTGACAGAGCCCCGGCCACAAAAGGTGGAGGAAATTCCTTGAACTCAGATGCCCAAATCGTGGGGTTAGCTTGAGATTGTTGTTCCTTGCCTGGGGCACAAGGTCTGTGTGTGACAGGGCTGATCCCTTCAGCAAACCAACCCCGCCGAGCGGCAGCGCCTCACCGGCAGCACCCCTTGAAAGAGAGCGCCTTTTTTGTATAAAATGATGTCATTAACTCGCCAGCCTTCCCTCGGGGTGAGCAAACACGGCTGCGTTGCCTTCCCCACGTCCAGGGGATCGTCTTTCAGCCCGCAGTGACCAGGATGAGGAGCGCAGGAACGGGAGCCAAGGCAGATTTATTGTATCACCGGGCTGGCATCTGGAATGTCACACACAACTCTGACATAACTCTGAAACTTGGCACAGCTGGAATATGGGCAGTAACAGGTAATGCTGCTTTTGTGTTTCCCTGTTTTCTTTAGAATAATTGTTGCATTGGTACAGAGGTTAAACACTTCTCTCTGTTTGCTTTGTTTTATGAGCTCTGGCTTTATTTTCTTATTAATTTATCATTTGCACTCTTCCTGATTTTCTCTGCCTGACACATCCTCTACTCTGTTATTTTCATGGCATGCCCATACACACATTTTTCATCTGCTCTGGCCCTCACTTCATGCCCTCTGTGAATGTCTGTGCTCTCCTGTGCAGTTTCTTTGCTCCCCACTGTTTTTTCCCTGCATAAACCCCTGTGTGCATTTTGCATGAGCACAGAGAGGAATTCCCTCTGCTGCTTGGACCAAGGGAATGTCAAATCCTCCAGCCTTTGCCTGCAGGGCTGCACTCATCACCTGTTTTACTTCCAGGAGCTGCTGTGAGCAGCAGCTCTGCCTCAGGAGCCGTTTTCCTCACTCTCCCTGCCTGCACTTTTCCTTATTTCCCTTTCCTTTCCCGCACGCACGTGTTCCTGTGCATGAGACCTCACTGTGACTGTAATTGCCACCACCTTGCATCTGCCCATGACAACAGGGCCATAAAAAAGCTGAACTGCTCATGATAAACAAATAAAATACACTCCCTTTCCCAGGAAGCTTTTGAGAACCTCTTGCAAAAGGACAACGTGGTGATTTCGCTTTTCTAAACCGCTCACAGGACCTGCAGAAGATTTGCCATGCCTGGAGCTGCCACTCCAAGCTGGATCGGTGGTCCCAAGGAATTCAGGGAGCCTGGAAGCTGTGATCCATCCCCGGCATGGTCAGGACCCAGCGCTTCCCCGGAGGAATTTCCTGCTTCTGCCTGACACACCACGGGCAAGGTGAAGGGTTTTGACTCCTCCTCGGGCATGCCAGGAGGTGACTGTGCTTCACATGATTCGCATCCTGAAAATGTGTAGATAATGTCAAATGCGCCACATGAATGCTGAAGTGAAATTAGACAGTGCTCGGGCAGATTTATTGCAAGAAATTTTAATTGCTCAACGTAGCAAAAGTCTTAAAGTTGATTTAAAGGAAAATATAGAGGAGAGAGAAAAAGAAAGCGGAGACTGTCATTGCACGAGCTGAGCGGCAATTTCCAGTGACTTTATCAATTTACATTTTCATTAAAACAAAGTAAGTCAAATTAAGACATTTCAAGTGAAAACTTGACTTTGACCTTGAATTCTGCCCGGTCTGTGCAGTTTAAAGCCTCCTCCGGGACCGGGGGAGGTGCGGGGGCTCTCGGGGGGTCACTGCCTGCAGACCCCCCCTGTGCCCGCTGCCTTCACCCAGCCCCGCCCGGGACCCCTCGGGCACACCCCGCACACCGTCCCCCCGGACCGCATCCCGGTCCCGGAGACTTTTCCCACTCGGCGGCCCTTGGTGCGGGCCAGAGGAGCCCGAGGAGTCCCGCGGGGAGGGGCGGGGGGTCTGCACCGCCCCACGCGAGCCCGGCGATCCCCGGGGGCGGAGCGGGTGACGCGCGGGGCCGGGGCTATAAAGCACCTGCCGGGCTCCCGACCGCTCCAGACGCGGCGCGGCGGCTCCGGGTGAACAGCCGGGACGGGAGGAAAAGGAGGAAAAACCCAGGAGAAGCCTCAAAGCCGCCAGCGCAGAGCCGCGGTCATGGGCAGCCACCCCGGCGTGCTGCTGGCGCTCGCCCTGTGCGCCCTGCTGGAAGCCGGTGAGCCTCGGGCTGGAGCGGGGCTCGGTGCCCCGGGGGTGCCCGCACGGGAGGGGGGACCCCCTGCGCCCCTCGGCTCGGGGAGGGGCCCGGGGTGTGCGCGGAGGCTGCGGGCGCGGTGCGGGACCCCCGCTCCGGGGAGCCCCCGGGGCCGTGCGGGTCCCGGAGGAGCCGTAGCCTCATCGGGGACACCGCCGCGACCCTCAGAGGGGACACACGGACGGGCCGCTCACGCCTCCCTCCCTCCTTGTGCTGCCGCAGGTCTGGGCCATCCCCCGGCCGAGTCGCACCTGGCCGCGCCGCCGAGGAGCAAGCGATGTTCCTGCAACAGCTGGCTGGATAAGGAATGCATCTACTTCTGTCACCTGGACATCATCTGGGTCAACACACCTGGGTGAGCAGGAGCGCTCGGGCTGCTCTGCTGATGGGCAGGGGCTGTACCTGAGGCTGCAGGAGGCTGGGAAAGGGTCCCGCGGCTCTGGCAGCACCTGCTCCAAGGTGCGCGCTCAGCCCACAAGGGACAGGCTGTGCTGCGGCTGCTGCTCAGGTGTTTGTCCAAGCCCCGCGGCTCGGGGTGAAAGCACAGGCTGCTGCTTCCTCCCGGCCTCGGCTTTTCCTGAGGTTTGCACCTCTGCGAGCCCGGAGCAACACCGGGATGTTGTGGCTGCAAGTCAGGGAAGTTCCTCTCCCCGCTCGCACGCTGTAAGCCGGGCTGCCAGTATTGTTAATGAGACAGTGGTGGGCTGGCACTGCGGGCCGCGCCTGCCAAGTCCTGCCCTCAGGAATGCCGGAGCAGCTTCCCCTGCGCTTTCACACCAATGGCCATCGCACTGGAGCGCAACACACGCGCTCAGGTGTGGTTATGATCGCGCTCGCTGACATGCATTTACAACTCGCTGCTTGCTCGGGGAATAGTTGCAGTCCTCGCCTGCCAATCCTGCAGCCTCTGGGAGAGGAGATTGCCATCAGAGATGGAGCGGGAGTGAGCTCGCAGTTCTGGGGGAGGCTGTGAGCACCAGAAGCTGCTGTGGCCCCGAGACATCCCGGGCTGTGCAGTGTCCTGTGTGTTAAAGCTGCAGGGAAGGAGGATTCTGACCCCTCAGCTGGGCTGGGGCTGCCGGGCTGGGTCAGTCGTGCTCCTCAGGAGCTGGGCCACCCTTGGGAGCTCATTGCACGGGCACCTGGGCTGCTGCAAGGAGAGAAAACTCCCCTTTCCAGGCAGCCCAGAGCGGCCATCTCCCGGGAGGGTGGGGAAAACAGGAGGTGGGAGAGGAGCTCAGACCTATCAGTGACCTTTTCACCTTACGTCTATAGATGAGTCTTTTATTATCCTGGCACTGGCTTGGCTGCCTCCCAGGACCCTGTTATAAACCTGTTGGCCAATAAAAAGCTGGTGGCATAGCTGAATTCCTTTGTTTTTTTTTCCAGGCACACCGCTCCCTACGGCTTGGGCAGCCCGCCAAGGCGGCGCAAGAGGTCCACGGGCAGGTGCGAGTGCTCGCACTCCAGGGACAGCATCTGTGCCACCTTCTGCCAGGGCAGGCCCGGGTAAGCGCTGGGCATGTCCCTGGGGGCTGCCAGGGCTGACAGACAGGCAGGGCTCAGGAGCTGCTGTGCCTGCACAGCTCCCTGGGGATGGCTCTTTGCCAGCAGCTGGGATTTGTCTGGTGGCTTTTTGCTCCCCTCCCGGGAGCCCTGGCAGTGTCACCGGGTGGTTTGGGTGTATAAGGGTCCCTTCAGCAGCTGAGAGGCAGCAATGTCACCTCCATCCCTGCTGCTGCTGCCGGGAGCCTGGGGAAACCCTGGGTGAGCTGGCAGCACCCTGGGAGTGGGGACAAGCTGGGGGTGTGGAGTTTGGGACACCAGTGTCCCCTGCACGGCTCAGAGAGGAGCAGAGCAGGAGTGCCCTGAGCTCAGGAGCCGAATGTGCTGTGGCCACCTCTGTCCCTGGTGCATGGGGGGTCTCAGTTCAGCTTCAGCAGCGCTGCTGAAGGGAGGTGGAGTGAAGTCGCTGTGGATCTGTGTCATTAATTCCATAGCCAGGCAATAGTTACAATCCCCAATCATTAAATGTGCCTGTGAATAGAGGAGCTCTGGCACGAGGGAATAGCAGTCGAAGTAAGCTGTGAATAGCTCCCAAATAGCTGCAATTAACCCTTCAAAGCCGTGCATTCAGCTGTCTGTCACCGGGCCAGGCTCCCCCCGAGCTCCCCACAGCCTGGCTCTGGGTGGCTCAGGCTTCTCCTCTTGTCCTCAGGTACCTCCAGGGTCTGAAGCTCCCCATGAGCTCTGGAGCATCAGCGAGGTCTCTGCAGAGCAGTGCCACGAGGCCTCCCCACCACGGGCTGCTGAGAGCTCTCAGGTGAGCAGGGCACTAAACCCACTCTGAACATTCCTTATGAGCACTAGAAATTGTGTGTTTGTGGCCCCAGGCTGCAGTGGCCCCTCGGATGTGACCCTCTGCCACCTCCCTGATCCTTTCAGTGAGGACACTTGGCTGTTCCTGCTCTCTGGGGCACTGGAGGCTCCATCTGGGGGAGCCAGGGCTGCCTCTGCCCTTCCCAAACCAGAGCAAGGTCACATAAAATGTAATTCTTGATTGGAGTGGGGTGTTCCTCTGATGTGGGATGGGCAGATGAGTGATGGACAGAGGGAGAGGGGGGTGGCATTGTGTAGGAAGATAATTCATTGGGCAGCAACTTTGGATCAGAGCTTTTCTAACCCCAAATCAGGGAATTGTGGGGAGAAACAACTCCAGGGGTGTAACTGAGCTAAAGGCAGGTGGCAAATTAATGAATTGGTGGCAATTAAATCAGAGGCAATGGGGACACTTTGTGAAATGCAGATTTGGGGAAGCAGCACTCTGGGTCATCCTTGAATCCTCTGCCACCTCGTTGGGCCTGATGGAGCTTGATTGTGCCTTAATCCAGTGTGGACAGAAATTCCTGCTCTTTCTTCCCCCATCTCCTGCCTCCCAGCGAACTGTGGTGAGGGGTTGATAAATGTCATACTATGGGGTACTGAGCAGGGCACAGATGGGCTGGAGAGTGACCACAGTGTCCCTTCTGTCCCCAGGGACCTCAGGGGCTCCAGCATTCGCCAGCAGCGCTCCTGGAGGGATGCACAGCCGCCAGCTCTGCCTTGGGAGAAAAACATCTGGAAGAAGAAGAGATAAGAGACAGGTGCACACCAAGTTCACCAGAAGAATTTGGAGTCCTGTGGGTGCCACCAGCTCCACTGTCAGTTTTAGAGCTGAAGGGAAGGCCGTGAGTGGAAGGGAAGGAAGTGGAAGTCTCTGTGTTCCTGCTGCATGAACCAGCACTCAAGGGACTGCTGTAAAGGGAAAAACTGTCTCTCCATAGAGTCAGAGAAGTGTCCTGGAGCTGAATTGTGCCTTTTTGGATCAGGCAAGGGTCGTGCTGGAGCAGCACCAGCTGGCCTGTGCCCTGGAGCCCTCGGGAGGGCTCAGCCCGTGTGTGGTGGGTCAGTCACAGCCAGGGGCTCTGGGCAGTGCTGGACACCGAGCCCTCAGTGGCCTGGCTGCTCTCGGAGCTGTCTGAGCCTGGCCCCACTCAGGGGTGTTTGGCTGCTCACTGCTCAGGGATGAGCTGCCCCAGCCCGAGCCCACCTTTGCACTATTTTCTCTTGTCAGCCAGTGCCTAAGAACGAGGCTGCCGTGGTGGAACAGCTCCCAGTTTGTATTAAAATTTTATTTCATCCTCACCTGGGGCCAGCTGAGCAGTCACTGGGGTGGATCCCCACGGAGGTCCTGGCTGTAGCTGAGGTGGAGGATCAGTCACCCCAGGGATGGCACCAAAGGCGGGTGTGGCTGCTGTGGGGCCGGGTTTGTGCAGGAGCCCCCATGGCCAGGGGAGGGTGAGCAGAGCCTGCTCTGGGTCAGCGACCCCATCTCATCTCCTTGGACAGACCCTCAGGGAGGACTCCAGCTCCTGAGTATCCCAACCTCCAGCTCTGCCTGGAGGGAAGGACTGGGGCACAGAGGGCACACAAAGCCTGGCTTGCTGCTTGGCTTAGGTCAGCTCTGAGTCGGGCTCTGGACAGTGAATGACCATTCCTGGGTGGGGAATGCACCAGGTGAGGGGCAGCCAGGTAGGAATGGTGTGCAGGGAAGGACTGGTCAGAACAGGGGGTGGAACCGGATGATCTTTAAGGTCCCTTCCAACCCAAACCTCCTGTGATTCTGCACAGCCCCGTCTGAGCTTTAAACCTGTCTGGCTCAGGTTTAAACCCAGATCGGCTGGCCCAGGGCAGGAAAGGAAAAATTTGGGAAAAACACTGAGTCCAGGGCGGGTCTAAAAACCAAGCTTGCAGGCAAGGGCAGCCTCAGGGCTCCGGAGCTGTCTCAAATGCACTTTTGTTTGCCAGGGCTGTCCCTGGGCAGGGCAGTCAGGAGCTGCTCTCCACTGCTGGGTCCCTCTGCTGCCCACGCCAGGATTGCACAGGAGCTTTGGAAAGGCTGCTTCAAGTTGGTGGTGGACCAAAATCTGTGGTTGTTGCAAGTGTAGTCCCGATGGACAAGAAAAAATAATTCCTTGATTTTTTTGCTTTTAAGCCCCGGAGAGGGGAAAAATAAGACCAATTGATTGTATTGTGAATGAAACAGCAGATGAATCATTTGGTCCCCAAAGCTGCAGAGAATCTGTTTTTATCTTTGACCTTCTGAAGGTTGGAGTCACTCTAAAAATCCAAAAGAAGAAAATTCTGAAAGGGTTTGTTCCAGAGGAAATTTTGCACATGGTTTAATGTGAGTAATTTAAAATTAAACTACTGCTGTAAAGTACTCTGTCAATCTCATGTGTGTCATGTCCCATCCTTAAAGTGACTCATTGCACACCTGCCATATGTAGCATCCTGAAATCTGTATATTTATTTAAATCTATTGATTTTTTTACACAGTAATTTTCACGATATAATTTGTAATAAATAATGACACCAGTCAATGGCACTTTGCTTCCTTTTTTTGGTGGCTGGGTGGTGGTGGGTGAAGTGAAAGGAATCCAGATGGCCAAAAGAAATGGGAAAGGGAGGCTGGGAATGGTCCTGGGCACATTTCTTCAAAGTGAACCCATCTAGAATCCATCTGGCTGATTTAAACACTCCTTAACTTTCAACACCTTCTTCCTTCCTGGATTGCTCTGGGAACAGGGGTGGGAAGTTATCCCCAGCTTGTTGTGGATGTGGTGTTTGCTCGTGGTTGACTCCAGTCCTTCCCCAGCCCTGTGGCTGTGGGGTCAGAAGGGCAGGGACAGAGCTTTGGATCTGGGAAGGGATCGTTTTATTATTATTATTGTTATTATTATTATTGCAGTTCAAAAGCCATCATCTAAAGGATGATGTGAAGATGCTGAAGGCTCTGGAGGGGTCCCAGTCTTTGCTGTTTCCTGATTTTTTTTCCTGGCTGAGCTGCCTCTCCCATGGCCAAGCCTCTACCCCAGGGCTTGGTGTGAAAACCAGAGTCTGTCAGATGTTTTTATGACAATAAATGATTGTTCCTGGGACTTTAATGGTAAAGGTACATGATAAAAAGGACCTGGAATTACAGGGGGGAAAAGTACCTTGAAACACTGCAAATTTCCTGTGTAATATGGACAATATCCAGGGTGAAATTCTCTCCTCCTCTGCTCAACAGAGCTCCAGAAGCAGCCTGGAATTGTGCCTGTTTTGGTTCATTTCCATGGTCCTGCTGGGGCTGATTGCAGTGGTGGGAATGAGGGAAATGAGGATTTCATGCATTTCCCAGGAAAGATTTCCCCACCCTCTGCAGTGTCCACTGAGCCAGCTCTGGGTTTTTACTTGTCTTCCTGAAATCCCAAAGGAACCTTGGTTAGACCTTGGTCTCAGAGGGAAAATATCCCTGTTTGGGATGTTCAGAGGGTCCTGGCACCAGGGGAACATCACATTTTGGGAGGTGGGAGCACAGGAGATGCTCTCCAGCTCCTCCACAGTGCCTGGACTTGAAGCACAGAGAGAAAATCTGAAATAACCATTGGGGGAAGGAGAGAGAGATTTTTGAGTCTCTAATATCAATTATCAGAGGAAAATGTGACATTGGAATAATGAGAAATATTCCAGGGAGGTCCCCCCACCTTCAAGTGGGGCAACTTTGGGCTCAGCAGTGAGAACCAGAGACAGAAATCCTGAAAAGTGCCCTGATCCCAAAAGCTCAGCAGAGCTCCTTGCTGGGATGGCCTGCAGGGCCACCAAGGACTGAGGGCCAAGCTGAGCCTGGCAGGAGCCCCGTGCTGGGGCCTGGACTGAGGCCAGACTCTGAGCAAAGCCTTTGGGCACAGCTTTAATTACCAGCCCTAATTAGGTAACACCCGAGGGAAGAAGATGCTTAAGAGCATCTTAATTAGGGTGAAAAGGGATAAGAGAGGACTGTGCTTATTCTGGAGGTTATTGAATTTGCTGATAAAGATTAGCTGAAGGAGGAGTAGTTTATAAATTCTCACAGGTAACAGGGAAGAGCAGAATAATGAAACTTCATTTAAATGGAAAATCCAGGAACTCGGGCAACTTCCAAAGGCAGTATAACGATATACTGAGTATAAGTGATGGGACATCTTTAAAAATATCCAGCTTTTTTCCTATTGACAATTCCCACCAAAATGAACATCTCGTGCCCTGCATGTGACTCTCCCATTTTTCAGAATTCCTGGACAAAAGCCCTTCCCTAATGGCTCAGAGGCAGCAAACTTCCCTCCTGCACCGTGGGCCAGTTCTGTCCTCAGCAGGACAGGCAACATTTATTTATTTTTTTTTATGGGACTTTGTTCCCTTTCAACGTTTGTTGAATGGGTTCTGCCTGGGAGAAAATGCGGTGCCATAAACCAGGATGGAGTTGAAAGGAGCAGCCAAAGGTGGGGATGGGACTCTGACATCTCCAGCACCGTGGAGATTCTGCAGGCAGACTTTAGCACAGAAATGGCTTTTGGTGATTTTGGCTTCTCATCTCAGGTGGGCAGGGAGAGGAGAAGAGCTGGAGGAGAAAACTGAAATGGTCCCAGTCGGATTAAAGGATCACACAGTTACAAACTGCATTAATTAGCTGTGCTGGGTAATGAACGAGCTCCAGGTAAGCACATCCTGGATCCCACAGCAGAAACTCTCTGTCCCCTGTGCTGGAGACACGGAGGGAGGTGCCACTGGCTCAGCCTGTGCTGGGAATTGTCATTCCTGTCATTCCTGAGTGCCTCTGGAGCACGCTGGAAGCACAGCCTGGAAAACAGGGCATGAACACCTTGCTGAGCATCTTTCCCCAGGAATTTGTGGGAAAACACCTCAAGGACTGGGTTCCAAGGTGGGGGGAATGACAGAGCTGATCTGAGAGACTTTCCCAGAGCCTGGGGTCTCTTCTTGCCTGTGGTGGAGCTGTTCTGGCAGCAGCCACAACTCAGAGAGCCCCAACAGAGGCTGGAAAATCCAACTGGGAGTTGTGAGAGCTCCAACAGAGGCTGGAAAATCCAACTGGGAGTTGTGAGAGCTCCCACAGAGGCTGGCAAATCCTCTCTCATGTCCCTCTAAAGCCAGGGCTGTCCCCTTGGCACATCCTTTCTTTCTGACCCCATTTGCCCGTTTTCTGCAGTGTGTGGTACCCAATAAGTGACCCTGAGGACTTTTTTTAGTTTTCATCCATGCAAATCTCCACTCCTTCATTCCAGCAGCGAGACTGTAACAGCTCAGAGAAGATCCGGGCTGGGGAATGAGCCTCTCCCTGCCCAGGGATTTGGTGGCCGATCCGAGGTGCTGCTCTGTGACTTTGTTGTTAAAAGAGAATAATTCTCCCTCCAGCTCCGTTGCAGGGGGAGGAGGAGGAGGGAGCACACACGGAGCAATTAAGAAAAATGTCTTTGACCTTCAGCAACTTAATCAGTTGCCAGTGTTCTTCCTAATAGTGTGCTAATGGTTAAGTTCTTCTGGCTGCCATAAAAAGTGCTATAACTGGAGGCTACAATAAAGTGCTGATCAACCCATCAAGTGAGTCAATCCAAAAGTAATATCTGTCTTTGTAATGACTGCAATAAAAGCCATGCCAAAGCCAGGAGATGACGTGAATAAGAATGCTGCTTAATTATGCTGGGCTGCTCTGCTGGGTGCTTGTGCCACACTTCCAACCTGCTCTTGGGTGACATTGCCACCCCTGCCTGGGGAAGCCAAATTTTTTATTTGTGCTCCAAGGACAGTCCTGAGGGGTTTGGACAGATCTCCATCCTAGAAAAGTGGAGTTTTGGTGCAGAAGATGGCGTTGGATTTGGGTTGGGGCTGTTTATCATGATAAAATGCAGGAGGGAGGCATCACTGCTATTTTCTTTGTGTGAGGTTGGGGCGGGGAAAAGGGTTTAGAAATTTTAGGTATCCTGGTGTTAAATACAGCAGGGTGAAGGTTCCCTGTGGTAGAAAGGGTTTGATGACAGGAAGTAGAAAGAGGGGAAAGCCAGGATCAGTCAGGGAGACCCTTCCAGGCACTGGGGTGGATTGAGGGGCTGGCAGAGGCTGAAGCCCATCCCTGAGTGTTTGCCATGGAAGGCACGGACCAAAACCCTTCAAAGGTCACTCACAGGCAGAGGAGCAGAGGGGCTGGAGGATCTTTCCCTGCCTGATGCCTTGTCTTGATTTTCCTGGGAGCTCTCAGCACCCCCAGGGCAGGATGGAGCAGAACCCCCTCCCCAAGGCAGGTTCTGTCTGTGCTGCCCTTTGCAAAAGCACGGGAGAATAACAGAGGAAACCACCGCTGGAATCTGGAATGTCCCAGGTGGGGGAATTGTCCTGCTGCGCCCGGGGGAGCTGGATGGAGCACAAAGGGATGGCGAGGAGCACCTGCTGCTCCCGCTGGAAGGATGGATGGCTGCTGCCTTCCTCCCAAACATCCCCGTGTGCTCTGGGATCCCTGCGAGCACAAAGGACGCCGAGGAGCAGGAACCCAGCGTGGAGCTGGTGGCAAACACGCCGCAGCCTTTCAAGGAACGGAGCGGATTCCTCTCCCCCATGGGCAGGGAAAACAGGATGCAGCCACATTCCTGCTCGCATAGACAAGGCTCTCCACAGCAGCACAAACA